TCATAGGCAGACATTCGTATGATTGGCTGTTTAAATCAATTTAATTTTACATTATTTATACAGTTTAAAGTACTTTTAAAAAAAAATAAAACTACTCAGAATAAACAAAAAAGAAGTTTTATTAAGGTTGTAGGACTCCACTATTATAGAATTAGGTTATCACCATGCTAACTTCTCTAAAACAAAAAAGAATTTTGATTATTTTTAATAATGGAGTCCTACAACCCAAATAAAACTTTCTATATACTTCTTTTCTATTTTTTTTAAAAAGTACTTTAAACTGTATAAATAATAATAGCCAATCATACGAATGTCTGCCTATGAGGTCCAATCCCTATTCGCGTCGGGGTTCCAATATTCAAAATCCGCCTATGATTAGTAACCATGATTACTAGTCATAAGAGGGTTTGAATATTGGAACCCCGACATCACACGATGCGACTATTAAATTTCAGGTTGATTTTTGGATTTTGATATAGACCCGGAGGTAGCGATATATCGCTATGGTGGTAAATTACAAAGCCTTATTTTTTACAATTTTATATATAAAATCAACTTATTTGACTAATAAAATAATGAATTTTAATCACGTGCTTTATAGTGGACCCGTTCTGTGGATTAGGTTCGTTAAATAAAAAAGTAACACATGCGAATCCGGTTCACTATCGCTAAATCATTACATTTCCTAATTTCCTAATTTCCCTAGCACAAAATTGAAAATTTACAAAAAAAGATGTACATGCGTACAAGACCCTAGCTTATTATCATGTTTTTTTTTTAAAACAATGTATACGTTCCAATCATTTGGGGACGATGTGGAGATTGATCCTTATTTAGTGAAATTTCGAAAACCGGGGTTATAGGCTTGTGGTTAGTTAAGTCTGTCCGTACGTATTATATGTTCTGCAATAGTTTATGTTCATGGACTTCAGCTATCCATTCTTCCTCTTATGACCGCTTTAAATTGTTAAATAATATATTTAAAAGAACAATTATTCGATAAAACAATTTGTAAAGTTTCTCAGCGACGTAATTATTTCGATTACATAATCTGAGCAAATCTCATAGAAATTATATATAATTAAAAAAAAGATTTTGGCCTATTTCAAACCATAACTTTGGTCAAAATTTTCGATAATAGTTGCATTATTGAGAAACAGGCGAAAACGGGTTTTAGACTGTTTTTGCGCCATTTGGCTGCGACTCCTATATTTAGCAGATGAGCATCAGATGATCGGCATTCTTGAAAGTTTAATCAGCATCCGAAAAAACCCGCAACCAATCAAAATGGCGAATTTTTTTTTTTTTTTCACAAGGCAACTTAGATCTCGTTTCACCGTTACACTTTTCTGCAAGTGACAACAGCTCGTGCAAAAAAAACAATATCCTCTTATTGGAGAAATTATTCTATAGCTGATGTTTCTTTCATAAAAAAAAAAAAATAAAAAAAAAATAAAAAAATAAAAAAAAAATTGAGTCCGTGACTTTGAAATTTAGATATATAATATATCTAATATATACAACGAACGTTTTTAGATCAACTATTCTTCAGTCAAGTTCTTAAACCTTTCTAAATCTATTCAGAGCTCATTAAGCACCATGAAAAGCAACGTATACAAGTTATATGAAACAGAACCAACGACAAAGTTATCATATTATCATAATGGTACAACAGAGTATTCGGTTAGTCATAGTAACCATAATAACCATATGACGATTCCTACCAATAACCATAACAATCACCATAACAATCACCATAGCAATCACCTTAAAGCGAAGAGTCACCGTGTCACGAAAGCTGCTACTCAAGAGGCTAATGATAAACCCTTTAAATGTACTATACCCGGATGTGTCAAGTCTTATAAAAACCCGAACGGTCTAAAATACCATACCGAACATGGTCATCGGTCGGCTTTGTCAGATACGGAAGTTGAAAAGAAACCGGCTATCAAACCATATAGGTGTAATTTTCCAGAATGTGAGAAACGATATAAGAATCCGAATGGATTAAAATATCATGTTGAACATGCTCATCATTCCATAATTCGTCGTGGGTGAATTTATAACAAACGGGATATATTTTAACTGATTCCATAAGACGACAGGATGATGCTTTTGCTTTTGGTTTGATTTTCTTTTACAATATGAATAGATAACTTTAAATAGATTGGGATTTTTTTTTAGAGGGACAATTGGGTGCTAATAAGCAAATGTGTGAGCTATGGATATTAATTGATATTTTTTTCATTCATTTTTTCATCATGCACCACAAAATTTACTCAGATTTTCTTGATTTTTTTTTATTATTTTCAGATCAGAATATCTAGAGTGTAGTGGTCTTGTATATTCCTTTTGCCGACTTATTTTGGCATGTACATTTTTTTTTTTTTTTTTTTTGTTCAAAGAATGGGATTATAAAATGCGGATTTTAATATACTATGTCAAAATTTGACGAAATTTAATAAAAAGATTAAAAATCGTTGTCTTCACTACAAATATTCCCTTCGACCTCTCAACTCTTGCTATCCAAGGTTATAACATCATTTAACAAGTTTGTCATAACAAACGTCGTAGTAATCATTAATAAAAAATGGTAAAATTAATTTTCGTTATTTCTTCAATATTAACGTCACCCATGTCACTTAGCCACGCTAGCATAAATTGCGACATTGCATGCATGCATGGCCGTCATGCGAGTTCTTTTTCACTATAGTTCACATGATTTTATCCCTGTAAAGTACAATGCCTGAAATACGTATGATTCGGGCGCGTTTCTGCATCTAAACAGCAATGTAGTGACATGTGTCACTCGCGTGTGTTAGCGTTAATGCGATTGTATGATTTATCTGATCTTTGAACATTTACTGACCACAGGAATAAAGAAATATTTCATTATCATCATGATCTTTCTAATTATTTGAAAATCTTTTTTTTTTTAAAAAAAAAATTTTAATTACATGCTAAATTGTCTGACCCGAGATGACGTATGTACGTATATTTTTAAGTGTAACACTTAACAAGTATGAAACATGATATTAATTACGAATGTTGGTTCAAAATTAATTGAAATTTTGTGTACATAAAATATTTCGTATCACTCCCGATTCTCGTTCGTACATATAAAAATATTAAGGATAGGTGAGTCTAGGATCTTGAATATGAATCTGAATGAACAATCTATCCGTGAAATTAAAAGCAATCATTCATTTTGAAATATATATTTAAAAAAGAACATATCGATTTTCGATTGTAGTGTAGTAACTATCACTATTAGATTTGGGTACATTATCGTTATCAGTTATTCTGCTTGTTAAATCTGTTTGTCCCTGGAAATTTTAATCTAGACCATTTATTCAAGTTTTATTTTTACAGGAAATTTTAGTAAACCGGACAATTCATCTTAATACCTAAAATAGAAAATCGTTCGACATTTAATACGTTTCACAAGTTTGCATTTACTATTACCGCTTCGAGTGCATTGGATCTTACCGAATTTTCTCCCATTTATCATATCTTTTCAGCTCATTTGTCACAGTCGTTAATAAAAAGACCGTTTATCTCCTGCGCTCATATGCAGTCTACTGTATAGATCCTTATAGATGTTCTTTTGGATGGATTTTCAAACAATATTCACATGTGATAATGGGCGTTTTGAGTTCTGAATCCTTGCATGATTGTTAGTAATTAAGCGATGTCAAATGTCAGACTTCAATAATTCTTTGTATGCTATTTTTGGTCTCGGGTCAGACAATT